CATCCATCCATCCATCCATCCATCATCCATCCACCCATCCATCCATCCATCCATCCATCCATCATCCATCCATCATCCATCCATCCATATCTCCCATCATCTATCATCTATCAACCAATCATCTATCTTATCTATCTACCTACCTACCATCCACCCATTATCAATCTGTTTGTCTGTCTGCCTATCTATCCATCCACCCTGTCTATCTACACACGCATCCACCCCTCCATCTCATCTGTCTATTGAAATAAATAAGTAAAACCCAACACCTGTTGCACACACACATGTATATCCTCCTGGTCCTGCTTCTCAGGAGAATCCTGACTGATCCAGCCCCTCTGAGACCAGAGGCTGTGAGTGGCTCCCCTGACACTGACGTACAGAACCGCCTCCATTTGGTCCCTTCCATCCGTCCTCTGCTTGTCACCCTCAGAGGACATGTCATCCTCCCGAGGGCAGGGGGACAGCCCGTCAGGTCCTCCCTCCCTGCGCTCGGCGGCCACCTTCACTCAGTGCCTTGCTTGCTTCTGCCCTGAGACTCTTAGCAAGACACGCCAGCGTGCCCTTACCTCTCTCTGTCTTGTCCAGTAACCCCAGGGCCACACAGATGTCCAGCAGCCATCCAGTGCCACGCTCTGAGGCGTCGATTTTGCTGGCGACATCCACGGCCTTCAGTGGGGCCTCGTCTTTTAACACATCAAACACCTTCAGCTTGCACGCCGTGAACAGGGCCTGTCGATGAAAACCGAGAGCAATCGGACTTCTTCTCCCGGGACTGACCCAGGGCCTCTGACGCCCACAGGCTCCACAGGGGGGGTTCGGATGTGACAAAAGCGTCTCATCATCCGCTGAGCCCTCTTTTCTGGAGAGCAGCGGGTTTAATCTCCAGCGGGCACAAGGCTTGCGGAAGCTCAAAGCAAACCAGTGACTACCAAGCAGAGAGACTGTCGCCTGGGAGAAGAGCCAATGTGCTGCTGTGAGGCTGAAGGGGGTCCCCACCGCCACCCCAAGATCTGCATGTTAAGCCACAAGCCCAGGACCTCAGAATCCGAGACAAGTGGTCCATCTCCAGGCACCCTGCTTCCCGACGGTGCTTGGGACTCCCTCACGTGACACTGAGCACCGTCGCTCAGGCTCCCACCTCGTAAGGGGGAAACCTCTGTGACAACGGAGGCCCTTCCAAAAACGGCAGGACGCTGAGCTGTATCTAGAATGTACGTGACAGACCCGAAGAGGTGACTTACGACCTGGGACTCCCGGCAGCACCCCCGCTTGGTCAGTATGTCCAGCCAGTGGGGGGAGACCTTTGTTATGTGACCCAGGTGGGTGACAGATACGTAGGCAGGTAGATGACAGGCAGATAGATAAACGGAC